TAAATAAAAGAGAAAGCATTCGGTTTAGAATAAAAATATTAAAATGTTGATTGTTGGAGCAATTCAGCAGATAAAACAGGCCAACACGTATCAACATACAATCAGTGCAGATCAATGACTGTCGGAGCTTTCTACAGTCATTGGTGCAGATTAATATCAGCCAATCAATCATACAAATTTCCATCCATTCTCTTCCGCTTATCCAGTTCAGGTTCGCCGGTGGGCTGGGGCCTATCCCAGCTAAGGAGAGGCTCACACGGATTTTGAGGCACAAAATCTTTGCAACACCTGTGAAGAGTGAAACACGGTAAACAGCCTGATACTTTACCATAACTGAATTTAAAAGAAACATACATTAAAAAATATATATTTAAAAGACTGTGAGTGGCCTAGCTAAGCTTGTTTCCACATATTTTACTGTGGCAGTTTAAACTACACCAACGGAACCCCCTCGGGGACAATTTTGTGTGCGGAAGCGAAAAGTTCAAACATGTCATCAGCAGTTCCTGGTACAAGTTAAAAGCAGTCGGGTCGTCACTGTGAGCATGTCATCGGTCTGTATGTTCACAAACTGTCCCTCTGTGTATAAGAAAGCTTCGTTCTGCGGAGCGCGGCTGTGAAAAGTTTGATTTGCAGACATTTGTTCATTTGTTCATTTGAGTGAGCAGCGTTACATGTTCGGACAGGAGCCCGCCAGGAGCGCGAGGCGGAACGGCCCCAAACCATGGCCCGTGGTCGCGCTGTCGGTGCTGGGCTCGGCCGGAGCAGTGGCCGCGGTCGGGTTTCTCTGCGCCCTGATCTACCCCATACTCAAAGGTAAGCGCGCGGCCCTGTACCGCACGCGCACATCAGGATCAGATCAGTGCGATCAGAAAAGGAAAAAACAGTTTTTACTGTAGGATGATCGGCCAATCCAAAGGCATATTTATAATACAGTCATCACCAGCAAATGCTTTTGTACAAAGTATTAAATACATTTGTTCAATAATTTTTCATTATTACACATAATAATGAATAAATGCACATCTGTGGATGATTTCTTTGGATGGGCTGTTGGTGAGAATCTCATGTCAGTAACAACTTATAACATGTTAAGAAATATATTTACTTTGAAAACTGCTGACATGTCAAATATTTGTTATATCATTATGATATATTAAATTATATATATATATGTGTGCATGTGTGTGTGTATATATATATATAACTTGTTTTTATTTCCGAGCTCTGGTAAAGTGCTTGTCTGGCACAGGACCAGATGGGATCTGTCTTTTTAACAAGTGTTGTTCAGCATAAGTTGTGATTGTTTCAGAGCTGCGGGCAGAGAGGGTGACAGGAGAGGATGGCACTGAGGAGAGGATGCTCGGTAAGTATAAGCTCTGTATTTACTGCTCCGTCCAGATACTTGTGTTCACCACCATGCTCGGTTTCCACTTTCTTTGCTTCCATGTGCAGCACATATACTTAGAGAAAGCTCTAATACCATGTTTCAACAGTTCTGAAAAGTACTGCACAAAGTAACTGGTGTAAATATCTGAGGGCTGCAGCTTTCATTACTTATTATTCTGCAAAATCTTAGAAACTAATCTTTACTAAAGTAACAAAAGAGATCCACAGAACAACAACTTTGCTGTAGACGTGTTTATTTAGACTGTGGGTCCAAACGTTCTGTGTTTTTGTATATATTGTTTTTATTGTAACACCAAAACAAAAACGAATCATGTTTTATCAGTACGGAGGAGAGTGGAAGCAGTCGAACTCAGTGTGACAAGGATGATGCTGTTGCTACAACAGTGGTTTCTCCCTTATTGTGTAAAACGACTGTAAACCCTGACCCTGCACTGTGTGTAATCAGGCTTCTGGAGTCTCCTGGTCCTGTCAGTATTAGTAGGATGCATCTGCTGCGTCTTCTCGTGGATGCTCACCTACCTTGACTCGTTCCAGCCTGGTCTGGATTTCCCGACGCTGCGGACAGTGGCCCACGTCAGGTAACACACTGGGATACGCTTTGTATGAGCAGAAGAATCAGGAATTCTCCCTTATAATGCTGATTTCTTACA